TACGTTTTCTTAATTATAGACGCATCGAAACGCCACAAAAATTTGACACTTGAATGCATAACTTTGTTCCAACTCTGGATCAGCAATGTCGTCGAGAATTTGTCGCGTTGTCCAATGCGCTGAAATCCCTTAAGTGTTTATATTAAGTATCCTTCGTGGTTTTTCTAATTCTTCCTCCTTTATCATACCCTTTATCAGTCAAACTGAACCACTCCTTCATTATTCAATTCCTAACCGTATGACAACAGCACGTCCTGAACACAAGCACTGAATCTTGTTTGATTTCCCAGCTATGTAAAAACAAATTAGGATCTGCTGGTGAGCACTACGACTCATGGAGGCAAAAATACAACCGAGAGGTTGAGAGAAATGAGTCAACCTTCTGAGCAGAAAAAGTGAAGCACTCAAACCTGGGTATGAACTTTGTTGTTATAACTGTGCTGGTCGTTTATAGTTTAGAAAGTATCTCACTCAAAAAGGGTAAAAGAGCAGACAATGTTTCGATCTGAACAGGGGTTTGGTCATGAACCGCTGACCACCATTTACTTCCGTAGAAAAGGGCTTTTCGCCAGCGGACTAAAGAGTCCAAGCCCTCTATTCAAACCGAAGCGTCCTTGTCAGAGTCTCATCTATAAGCTAATGACAGATTTCGGCTAGAGGGAAACAAGCTCCATCGTAGCATTTGTGTCTATTAGCCGAGTGAATAAGCCCCCGACTAAGCGGAAAACGGCGAAAACCAACCATTTGCACGGAAGATATGATCATAATGATGAGGCCAAGTGAAACAAATTAATGGAAAAACCTAGTGCTAAAGGAATGGTAATTCAATTCACTAAAGCGTTATTTTCGCAAGGATGAGGTCTGAAATTCTCATAACTATAACATGACGACAATCACTCCCATAACTATAACTCTTGCCTTTCGGCCCAATCTGTTTGCGGATTCACGTCACAGAAGTATGTTGCGATAAGTATATGGAAAATTTAATCACCGTTACCGTTCACTGGCGAATCTATCCTTCGTTGCTGCGACGACGCGAATATGGCAGACTGCAGATCGTTGATGTCGACGCCAAGAAGGTCAGCGGCAAACTGTGCATGCACTGGTTTGGCGAACGTCGATTTGGCACTGGGTAAACCTGAGAATGGAAAGAAATGTCAATGAACAACCCAACAAGAAAATTATTCAAACAAGTAGCTTCAGATATGAATATTTTGAAAGTAAGCAATGAAGCAATGAGTCAGTAGTTCGCTTCGCGTATTACACTTAGGTCCGGTTCGAGCCCCATTCGCGACAAAGATGATTCCGTAAAAAAAGCAAAGAAATGGGCATTAGGTTAATGAACCGCCAAAATGGAGACAGCATTCAGCTAATATGCTCATCCCAGAGCGGACGAAACTGAAGATTCCGGCTGACCCATGCGCCTTACGGGTGCAACCTGCCTTGACCTATCTGACAGACAGAAGAAGAGCACAAAAAATATTATTAACCACTATTGAGTGAACAAAGAGGTTACAGGAACGCAGCGAGTTCACCTGCTTCGTCGAGTGCATTAAAAAATTTACCTTTGGTAGAACCGGCGTAGTAAAGGTGGAAAACAGCGGCAAGCATGTTGAACACGACCGAAACAGCGTTGCGGTGGACGCCTAGCATTCGAAACGATTCGAGAAGCTTTTCCCATCGCTCTTTCGCTAAGGCACAGTCCAAAACCTGAGATAATAACGGCGGTTACTTTTTCATTACGAACACATTTGAGTCGTAACTGATCACCGGCAACGCTAGCTTCACACAATAGAAATATCTAACATAAGCTGCTTTCATAGAGGTAGTCACATGGGTAGTACACAGTCACAGAAAAGAATCATGCCTTGTAGTACGGAAAAGAATTCTAATTCTAAGAAGTTGTCGTCTGCTCCTTATTTCCAGACGAGGGCTGTCTTAGACTTTAAACTTTATCTTATTTGGCCACCAATTCCACTGAATGCTGATAAATATTGAAAAAGGGTGATAAAAGGAGGATCAGTACAAACTTAAAGTAATAATTAAGTATCAGTCGTGATTAAATTTCACAATAAACTCCATAAAACAAGCCTGCCACAAAAAGTAACCATTACAAAACGTAAGGGAGGGTCTAAAATTTCAGGATGGACCATTTATTCCAATTTCAAGTGTATCTGTAATTATTCAAAATGCTGATCTTTCAATCTGAGCACCCACTGCGTAATAATGCTAATTGCCCAGCTTGGTCAATAACAATCTCTTGGTTTAAAATCTAGAATCGAGTCATATTTCCTTTCAGGGTAATGAAAATCAAAAGTTTGGCCTGACCTAAAATGAATCAAGCAAGCTTCATTGACACTGAAAACAACAGAGCAGTAGTCAATTAAAACTCTTGGTAAACCCTTATTGACTAACTGGAAGTCTTGTACCGTGAATAACAAGAAAATACCATATTTTACAGTCACCTTTAGAATCATACGAGCAAATACGCTTGTTTCATAAATTTTTAAATGTTACCTGATCGAATCCCCCGATGAGTGCAGACGGTGGCTCTTCGATCAGATCGAGCTGTGCAGCCTTTCTAAAGAAAAAAGCGTGCAAATTGTTTTCTATAAGGGAAATTCGTAAGAAACTATTTGC